AGTCATGCGTGACTCTTGGGGACTGGCGTCATCATCTATTACAGTGGTTCTCAACCTTTTTAATGCCGCGACCCCCAACCGGTCGTAAGTCGAGGACTACTCAACCGGTCGTAAGTCGAGGACTACTCAACTGGTGCAGCACCGTTTGCAGAATGGGACTTTTGGCGGGCTCAGCAGGGCAGAGACAGCCTGGACAATTCCTATTGGCTTTTGAAAGCCAATAGAATTAGACTCTATTCAAGAGAGTCTATTCTATTGGCTTTCAAAAGCCAATAGAATAAAAGGGAGTAGCACAGCTAAGGAAAAGGGGGGAAAAATGGCGGACTGCGCTGTTTGGCGATCCCTGTGAAATGGTCGTTCGACCCCAAATGGGGTCCCGACCCACAGGTTGAGAACCCCTGCTCTATTAAAAAGCCACCTTCCCAAAGGGCAGCTGAGAATAACTCCGGGAGAAGAGCTGTTTTGCATAACATAATAATAATTCCTAATAATACCAGCACTCAGATGGGGGAATGGGGTTCTCCAATATGTCTTTATTGCATGAGAACCGTCCCATCCATGAAGCTGCAGTTATTTTGTATAGTTTTTTTTTTTTTTCAAACTTGGCAACTTTAAGATGGGTGGACTTCAACTCCCAGAATTTCCCAGCCAGTCATGTCCATCCATCTTAGGAGACTGAGAGATGCTGATTTTGTTTAGCATTTCAGTAATAAAGAAGACAGATGGCTAGAGGAATGTATATATGGGGTGACTTAACACTTTCATTACGTGTGACTGATAAGATAACCTTTATTGTCATTTTTTTTTACTGTGGGTGCAATGGCACACATCAAAAAATGAAATTTAGTTGCCCGCTCTTAAAGTGAAACACATACATGACACACACCTAAACATACTACATACAATACCCCAAGGATGGTAACCCCATATACACAGGTAGTCCTTGGCTTACGAGCCCAAGTGGGACCAGAATTTCCATGCGCTAAGCAAGGCGGCTGTTAAGTCAGCCACACCCGTTTCGCAAGCTTTTTTTTTTTGCCACGGTTATTAAGAGAATCCCTGCAGTTGTTAAGTGAAACGTGCTGTCATTAAAAGAATCTAACCTCCCTGATTGACTTTGCTTGTAAGAAGGCCACAAAAATGGGGAACCGTTGTAAATGCATGCCAGTTGCCAAGCACGCAAATTCTGATCATGTGACCGTGCGGATGCTGCAATGGTCATAAGTGTGAGGACTGGTTGTAAGTTACTTTTTTCAGAGCCGCTGTGACTTCGGTCGCTTTACAAATGCTTGTCAGTCAAAGACTACCTGTATACTTACGTATGCAGCTATACATAAAAGAGGAGGAGTAAAGAGTAGAGAGTAAAGCGATAAAAAGTTGCCTCGTATGGAAGATGGGAGACATTAAAATTTAATAAATAAATGTAGTCCTCAACTTAACAACCGTTCTTTTAGTGACCATTTGAAGTTACAATGGCACTGAAAAAAAGTGACTTATGACTGTTTTTCACACTTATGACCACTGCAGCCCCTGGCCACGTGATCAAAATTCAGATGCAACGGACTCGTACTTGTGACGGTTGCAGTGTCCCGGGGGGGGTCACGTGATCCCCTTTTGTGACCTTCAGGCAAGGCAAGTCAACGGGGAAAGTCAGATCCACTGAACAACTGTGTTACTAACTCAACAACTGCAGGGATTCACTGAACAACTGTGGCAAGAACGGTCGTAAAAAGGGGGAGAAACTCCCTTAACAACTAACCCGCTTAGCAGCAGACATTTTGGGATCAGTTGTGATCGAAAGTCAAGGACTACCTATCAAGGGGTAAGATTAGCATTGAGAAGATCTAGTCCCGTGGTGGCGAACCTATGGCACGGGTGCCAGAGGCGGCACTCAGGGCCCTCTCTGTGGGCACGCGCGCCGTCGCCCCAGTCCTGGGCCTTCAGCTGGGTTTTATAAAACCTTTTCGCTTTAGGCTTCTGCCACCGTGTACAAAAAAAAAAAAAAAGGTTCAATCAGTCAATTTCAACTTCTCGCGGGGGAAAAAAAAGTTCTTGCAAAGTTGGAATTGATTGATTGAACTTTTTAGTCCCACCCAGTCTGCCGTTACCACCGCAGCCACGCCCACCCAATGGGCCACACCCAGCCAATGGGCCACACCCACCCGGCACTCGACGATGCATAAGTGGGTTTTGGGTTGCAGTTTGGGCATTCGGTCTCTAAAAGGTTCGCCATCCCTGATCTAGTCCATCTTCAGCCATGGATGTTCCTTGGGAATTCTTTGGGACAGTCGCTCCCCTTCTCTGCCCATCAGCCTGTGTGGAATAGTGGGGAAGATACTAAATTAGTCCTCCCTTTCCCACAGAAGTTCCCAGGGTGACTCTGGACCAATCTCCTGAAAAATCTCTGGAAACTAATCAAGGAGAGAAGCAACCTGGAATTCAGGAGAAACTTCCTAACAGGGAGGACAATTAACCAGTGGAACAGCTTGCCACCAGAAATCGTGGGTGCTCCATCACTGGAGGTTTTTAAGAAGAAACTGGACAGTCACTTGTCTGAGATGGTATAGGTTCTCCTGCTTGAGGAGGGGGCTGGACTAGAAGACCTCCAAGGTCCCTTCCAGCTCTATTCTGATTCTGATTCTCTTTGCCAACTAACCTCCCTGGGTTCTCCTTCTGGAGGAAGAAAACATTAGGGAGGCGTGTTACCTTGAGCTCTTGAAACAAAGCTGGAAAAACAATCAAACAATTAAAAATACCAGAAAAACATTGCATAAATCTTTTTTTTTCTTCATCATGACCGGCTCATAAGTTAGTCATCCTCCGAACAAACGTAGCCCTTGTCCAGGGCCACTTTTAAAGCTTTATTGCTGGTCAGAGATGGCGGCAATAGCCCATCTCCAAGCCCAATAGACTAGGCAATAAACAACCATGCCATATATCACCGGCAGAGAGAATGGCAGCCATGGCTGGGCTGGGCTGCTGTTCACACAATAGCCAACGCCGCGCATTGAAGTCGCATCGGAGTAGTGGAGAACATCCTGAAGAAGGAGATGCCCACACCTGAACATGCTTCCATTGTGCTAAAGTCCACGTCTGCATATCTAATCCGTTTTCTGGCACCTGCAGTAGGCATGTAGCATGACATGCCATCTGCAGCCTGGACGCATGCTACACACACATACACCCACGCATACCATCCCATGCATTTAATAGCTGGCTAACCTCTGAGAAAGGCAGATCATCCTACATATTGATAAAGCCTTAGAATCAGAGATTATGGTATAAGGATTAGAGGAATTTGGGGGTTCAGCTGGCTGAACCCCTTTGCCGGGAAAACAGGACCGTTCATACAACTCTCCTTGTAGCCTTTACATACGGGTTTTTTTTTTCTCTTCATTCTGCCATCTTTGTTACATTGGACTGCGATTTTCAAGTCATGCGAACGAATGAATGAACACAATTTTTTTTTATTCCGGCCGCTGACCAAAATTACGAACAAAAACCACATTAAAAATAAAAGTAAAAAAAAGAGAGACAAGATAAAATATTACGATTGGTGGGGCCTTCATCGGTGGGTAATAAAAGTCTTCCTAATTTATAGGCAGCATAAAACAACATTTAGCTACGCTCACCGAGACTGAATCACACCGGATCTGATAAGTACATAAAAAAAGATTTCAGAGAGGCATTTGGCAATGCCTATAACCTATTCTCACTTTAAAAAAAAAACCTGACTTTTTTCCCTTAACTATATATTTTAATACCTATTAAAATAAATAGTCACGTTTGGACTGCCCAGCGTTGCATGGAGGATATACTGAATCTGACTCCCTTCGTTAAACAGACCCAGTTTTAAAAGCTAAAGCAAGCCAGCAAGCAAAATAACAGACAGCTGGTCAACATTTTAGGGTGGGTGACAGTTTGCATGTTCCCCCCCCCTTTAAAAAAGATCCCTGATGGCACCAAAAAAGAAACCTTGCAGAAATTAAAAGGCTTCGCTTCCCGACTTTTACGAGCTCCTTTTTAATAGCAGGATTTGAAACAGAAAAAAATGTGCCATCGGACAATAAAATTGATAAGATTTTTTTCTGTACTAGAAAGAGAGAGGGGGGGGAGGGAGGGAGGAAGGGGTCTGACAGCACCTTTTCCGACTAAGGAAAATGCTTTTTAATAAGATCTATTAGGGCCAAAAGTATTAGCAGTCTTCTGATCTTTTTCCTACTCCAAGCTGGTAGGAAACCGAGCCAACGACTGGGGGGCGGGGGGTCACCGCCGCAGAGACCCCAGACCCAGGGCTGAAAAGGCAGCCTTAGAGCGAGGGAGCAGATATATACTGCATAGAGAGAGGCGGCGAAAGAGTCCCGCGGAAAAGCCCTTCCGACTTCTTTTCTGCACCCGCTGCCGTCGGGGAGGGGGGGTGCTCCGAGTTGGAGGACTGGACAAGGTCGGGCTGAGCAGAGGAGGAAGGAAGGAAGGAAGGAGGGAGAGAAGAAGGAAGGAAGGAAGATGCGTGGATGGGAAGGAGGGAAGAAAGAAGGGAGGGAGGGAGGGAGGAAGATACGTAGATGGGAGGGAAGAAAGAAAGAAAGAAAGAAAGAAAGAAAGAAAGAAAGAAAGAAAGAAAGAAAGAAAGAAAGACGGAAGGAAGGAAGGAAGATGCGTGGATGGGAGGAAGGGAGGGAAGAAAGAAAGAAGGAAGGAAGGAAGGAAGATGCGTGGATGGGAGGGAGGGAGGGAAGAAAGAAAGGAAGGAAGGTAGGAAAGAAAGAAGGAAAGAAAGAAGGAAGGAAGATGTGTGGATGGGAGGGAGGGAAAAAGGAAGGAAGGAAGGAAGGAAGGGAGGAAGGAAGGAAGGAAAGGAGAAGAAAAAGAGGCCGCAAAGTTGAAGCAGGGAGTGCACTGCAGAGGAGGAAGACAGCCAAGCCGGGCGCGCTGCTTCCCCGTCCTCCGCTCCGTCCCCGGGAAGGCAGAGCCGGTGCAACCGGGGCGACGCCACTCACCCGTCCCTCTCTCCGCAGCAGCCCAAGTTCAACACTTTCCCCGCATCCCGAGAGGCGCCAGGCCGGCGGCGGCGGCGGCTCGGCTGCACCCACGATGCTCCGCCGGCTCCAGGGGAGGCCGCCTCGCCCCACTTCGCAGCAGCCGCGGGGAGATCGCGCGGCCGGGCAGGAGCCGGGAGGAGGAAGCGGAGGGCCCCGGGCTTGGCCGCGGGGAACCGAGCGGGACGGCAGCGGCGGCGGCGGCGGCGGCAGCGCCAGGGAAGCGGGCGGGCCTCCCTCCGTCCAGGTAATCCCGCCTCGGGCGGCCGGACGGCGGATTGGCTCCAGCAGGCGGGATTTGCATCTCAATGGCCAGCGCGCCAGCCAAGTTTGCAGCGCCGGGCAGCGGGAGGAGGAGGAGGCGCGCCTTCCGCGTTGGGTTGTGGTTGCGCAGGCTTGTGGAAGTCGCCGGAGGGGGTGGGTAGGAGGAATGGCGGGGGGGGGGAGGAGGAGATTGTAGCGGTACAACTGCTGACTCTCTCTCTCTCTCTCTCTCTCTCTCTCCCCCCCCGTGTGTGTGTGTCTGTGTGTTTGCGGGTTGGGCAATGCATCCTGAACCGTTCGGAACCCCTTGAGAAAAGACGCATGCTGCGCTAGCCCGTGTGGTGTGCCTGCCGGGGCCGCAAGCAGTTGCGTGCCTTCCTTACCCAAACGGTTTCTGGGCAGTTGTGAGCATCCCTGGCACAAGCAATTTCTGGGTGGCTGTGGGCATCCCTGGCACAACTGATTTCTGGGTGGCTGTGGGCATCCCTGGCACAAGCAAATTTCTGGGTGGTTATGTGCATTCCTTACACAAACGGTTTCTGGGCAGTTGTGATCATCCCTGGCACAAGCAGTTTCCGGATGGCTGTGGGCGTTTTCGGGTGGTTGCAGACATCCCTTGCACAGTTTCTGGATAGTTGTGGGCATCCCTGGCACAAGAGGTTTCTGGGTGGTTGTGGGCATCCTTTTCAACAAGCCCACGCAACACAGGCTAACCTTGACTGCCTGATTGGGGGGGGGGGGGCACTTGAGTTCCACTTCCAGAGCTGATTCACACAGCTCACCTCTGGTCTGAGGGTCTCTTGGAGGCTTAAAAAGTCAGTGTGAACCCAACTCCCGTGCACTGCATCCCAGGAAAGGTCAGATTCGTTTAGCAAAAAAGTGGGACCCCCCAACTTGGAACTGAGTCAGAATGTGAGGCACATGGTGGGGGCTGACCGGTGGCCTAGTTAGACCCCAAGAAAGTGTTATGTGCAATTTATTTATAAGTAACCCTTATAACCGTGTTACTAATGGTTAAGTTGTTCACTTAACAATTATGACAAGAAGGGTCACAGAATGGGGCAAAATTGACTTAACAACTGTCTTGCTTGAAATTAGTGAAACGGTTAAGTGAATCTGTCTTCCCCATTGACTGCTTACTAGAAATCACAAAAGGGGATCACGTGACCCTGGGACACTACCTGCCTGCCTGCCTGTGTCTTATCAATCGTCTATCTTCTAGCTATCTAGTTATATATCTATCATCTATATAGATCAGTGGTTCTCAACCTTTCTAATGCCGCGACTCCATAATACAGTTCCCCATGTTGTGGTGACCCCCAACCACTTATACATCACCGGGTGCCAGGGGCGTGGCCAAAGAAAAGGGGGAAAAATGGCAGACAGCCTTGTTTGGCAACCCCCGTGAAATGGTCGTTCGACCCCAAATGGGGTCCCGACCCACAGGTTGAGAACCACTGATATAGATCTACCTCTTATCTATCTATCTGTCTGTCTGTCCGTCCGTCCGTCCATCCATCCATCTATCTATCATCTATTTATCTATCTATATCTGCCTGTCTGTCTGTCTGTCTATCATCTAGCTATCTAGCTATATATCATCTATATAGATCTCTCTCTCTCTCTCTCTCAATGTGTCTAGATTTATTTTATATAATATTGGAAATGAATGAATTTACTTTCCATCTGGGGTGAGAATGGAAATCTTTTATGTCTCCCTTTTATTCCAGGCACCGCCATATGAAGCACAGCAGGTCAACTACAACATTGATGATTGGAAATAAAAAGCTAACATTGCTCATAAAAGGTTATGTTGCACTAAAAGGAAAACGACTCTCTTCCCAGTTTGCTACGCTCCTGAATTCCTTTAATAGAGCAACAGAATTACAAAACTAGATCTTTGTACCCTCAAATCATTTTTCTTGTGATAACAAGCAGGAGAGTGGAATAACTTTTTATCAAAGTATGAAATAAAAGTAGAGAAAGGTGTCGTGTTTAGGCTTCTGGACAACCCATCAGAACATTAAACCCTCAACCATTAAGCAAGATTCATTAAACATTACAGGTCATCCTTGACCAGGGGTAGGCAACCTTGGCTCTTTTATGATTTGTGGACTTCAACTCCCAGAATTCCTGAGCCAGCCATGCTGAGGGGAAAGGGAGAGGTTTCTAAGCTGAGCCATGCTCGCTCAGGAATTCTGGGAGTTGAAGTCCACGAATCATAAAAGAGCCAAGGTTGCCTGCCCCTGTGACGTATGACCGTAATTAAGCCCAAAATGTCCGTTGTTAAGCCAGGCAGTTGTTAAGTCAGTTGTGCCCCATTTTACAACCTCTCTTGCCACAGTTGTTAAGTGAATCACTGCAATTAAGTTTATAATATGGTTGAGAAGTAAATCTGGCTTCCCTATTGACTTTACTTGTCAGAAGTTCACAAAAGGGGATTATGTGACTCGGGGACACTGAAACCATCATAGACATATGCCAGTTGCCAAGCGTCCGAATTTTGATCACATGACCAGGGGGATGCTGCACATGGGTGAAAAATGGTCATAAATCGCTTTTTACAGTGCTGTTGTAACTTTGAACAGTCACTAAAGAGATGTTTGTAAGTTGAAGACTTCCTGTGTAACCCCTGCCTATTAAGGAAGGGACTCAGTTTTGGCTAGTGGTTAAGGCGCCACTCTATAGAAAGCAGGAGGCTGCGAATTCTAGTCCCACCTTAGCCATGAAAATCAGCTAGGTGACTTTGGGCCAGTCCTTCTCTCTCAGCCCAACCCACATAACAGGGTTGTTGTTGTTGTGGGGAAAATAAGCGGAGAAAGGTGGTGTTGGATATGTTTGGGGCCTTGAGTTATTTGTAAATAATAATAAAGGTGGGATGCAAATGAAAAAAATTCAAAAGATATTCCAGAGAAAAATGTCTTAGTAGGCTTAGCTCTCATAGATCTAACAATTTAGCAATTCTGTGGATTGGTTTGTATGGATACTCCTTGTAAACTCCTTTGAGATATGTCCACACAGAACGTGGACAAGAAGCCTCCATCTTTGTTGTGGGTTCTACATTTCCAGAAGGCTAGTGAAAACTTGGAGAGGAACAAGGATGCCATAGGGCAGGGGTCTTCAAACTTGGTCCTTTTATGACTTGTGGACTTCAACTCCCAGAATTCCTCAGCCAGGCATGCTGGCTGAGGAATTCTGGGAGTTGAAGTCCACAAGTCATATAAGGGCCAAGTTTGAAGAGCCCTGCCATAGGGACTTCAGAACGCCTCCTGTGAGCACAGATGGAAAGGATTTGAGAGGTTCCCTATGGAGAAAAGACTGAGGGGAGACACGACAGTCATGTCCAGGTACATAAAGGGAGTTACACAAAAAATGAATTCTTTTCCATGTCTATAGGAACCAAACCCAGAGTTTAATCTCTCTAGATTTTGTTTAAATGTAAGAAAAACTTGATGGTAAAATCTCTACAAGAATGGAACTGTCTATCTAGAGAGGTGGATCTTCAACTCTGGCGGTGTTTAGCCTCTCAAGGATGATTTTATTGGTTGCCCTACGGATTGCAGAAAGTTGGAGTAGCTGATCTTTGTGGTTCCTTCCAATTGCAAAATTTTATTTCCATCCTCCTCTTCCTCCTCTTTGGTCTTCTCCATCTTTGTTAGGTCTGGATGCACAGCGAAGACCTTTATGAGTGGAGACGTATCTGGATATAGTTTCAGAAAAGGAATCTTGAAAAGCTAAAACGTATGAAGAACGGTTGTGGGAATTGGGTATGTCTGGTTTAAGAAAAAGAAGGACTAGGGAGGGCATGATAGCAGTGTTCCAGTACTTGAGAGACTGCCCCAAAGAAGATGGGGTCAACGTATTCTCCAAAGCACCTGAAGGCAGGACCAGAAGCAACGGATGGAAACTAATCAAAGAGAGAAGCAACCTAGAACTAAGGAGAAACTTCCTGATCATTAGAATAATTAATCAGTGGAACGACTTGCCTCCAGAAGCTATGAATACTCCAACACTGGAAGTTTTTAGGAAGAGATTGGACAACCATTTGTCTGAAATGATATAGGGTTTCCTCCTTGAGCAGGGGGTTGGACTAGAAGACCTCCAAGGTCCCTTCCAACTCTGTTATTCTCTTAAAAGCAGCTGTTTGGAACAATGCAGGAAAGGGAAGTGGCCAGGTCCCAGGGCAGGCCTAGGCAAATGGCTAAATTTTGTATTGGAAAATACAGCTGAGGTGTGTATTCAAATGGACCAAGCCAGACGCTAAGGCAGGCATGTCAAACTCGCGACGTCACGTGGCGTCGCACGACGTATCGGAGCTTTTTCGCCATTGCCGGCAATGGGGTGGGCGCGACTCCAGTATGATGAAACCTGCCCGCGGGCCGGCAGTTTGACACCCCTATACTAAGGACATGAATAAACCCATACATTTATGGGTTTTCCTTTGTGTTGACTAGTGTGTGTGTGGGGTGTACAAGTAAGTTTCAGGCGCTGTCCTTGGCGTTTAATCACGGGGTCCTGATCAAGCACAAAGCTAGAACAGCTCTCCGAGGTCACAAAGTTTATCCTCCATTTTTAATTCTTGTCTGGGCTGTTTCCATTTGCCGTGACAGGGTTTAATTTATAGCGCTGGCAAACGGCTGATAATATTTTCCTCTATTGATCAGCTTAAATTATCTAATTTCCCTGCAAGAGTCAGGCTCCCAAAGTACCAGACACAGGACTAGTATCTTAGTTCTCCTTCCTCTCGAGATCTTTCTGGAAAGAAAAGCCTCTTAACAGAAAGCAGAGGTGCAAAGAAATAACTCATTATAATTCAAGATC